TCACCCCTAACTTACCCCTGCCCCGAGGTCATTAGTCATAAGCATGGAGGGAAGGGAGGGAGGATTGTGAACAGCGCAGAGGGGACAGTGCAGAATGGATCCTATTGTTAGCCCCACAGGCCAGAGGGTGCTGCCTCACCCGGGGAAGTATCGCCATTTGGACTACGCTTGCAGCCAAGTGTGTTTTCTTGGGTGTCCATGTGCGCGTATGTCTATTTATCTATGAATGTGCGTGTGTGTGTTGTCTGCAAGTGTGTGTACTGTATGTGTTGATGTGTCTGTGTAAGACGTATCACCACGGTAACTGCTCCTTTTGGTTGTTCATTTCCATCTAGCGTGTGATGTGACGCAGCCTGACACCACCACATGAGCATGTGAAGCTTGTCACAAGCTAATTTGTAAACTTGTTGTCTTCTATTGCGTATCATCACTGTTACCTCTAAAGGTTTTTCCATATGTTGACTTCTCTGTGCGGCCCAGAATATGTATTGCATACATGTGTGGGTTGGTGGGTGGGTGCGTTCACCAGAGACGGCTTGTCCTAATCTGTATTTATGTGCTTGTGGTCAAATTAATACAGATTACCATAATCATATCTGGCTGTGACATAACATTGATTTCCGGCCAGCTCTCTTTCATACATCTCAGCAAACTCATTCTTCTTTCAGTCCCCTTTGAATTGGGCCCAAACTGTTAAGGGCCTATCCAGTGAGTGAGCACACCTTGTTTCAGGAGACCTAGGCCAAGGGGAAAATCAGCCTTTAATAACTATGTAAGGGAAAAGACTCACTCTGCCAAAATGGCAGCCGCCCTGTACACTGTTCAGCTGGCAAACTAACAGCCAGAGAAGGAGGGATGGGATTGGAATCCAAGCAAAAGTAAGAGTGATTTTTCTCCCAGACCTCCTGTTGCAGAGAGACAGCATGTAAGAACGTGAGGAGAGGAGTGTGAAGAGGCTTAACTGAAACATCACATTTTTTCTGATAATTATCCTCCTCTGATGCATTGTACTTCTAAATAAAACAACATTTTTCTGTGCATGTTTACTGGAACAAAACCATCTGGACTGTTTTAAATTATCTTTATGTATCTTAACATTATTGGGGGGGGACCAACAGCTACGACCCCAGCCTGTGAGTTGTTACATTAACACTGTGACCCAGACTGATCTCTCTGTATGCTTGCCCTTTCCTTGCTGTGCTTTACAGGTTGTTAGCAGTTGTACGTTTTGGTGTTAGCTAAGGCTTGAGTCTGAGCAGAGTAGAGCTTGGTAGGGAGGAGGCTCCCAGCATGTTGGAAACCACAGCACCTCTGGCGCCAACTCCAATGAGACATGAGTTATAGCTCCGGCTTCCCCGAAATCAAATAAATAATCTCTGCCTTATTTATTTACTTAGGCTCTCATTATGATTTGCAGCCTCTCAATTTTTCTATAGTGGTAAAAGGACTTGCTTGCTCTCTTGTCATACTGTGCTTTCCAGAGACACATGCATACACACACATCACTGCTGATTTTCAGACACACACCTGTAATCTGTTTTTCTATTTATATTTCAGTCTGGATATTTCATCATTAAGTAATTGCAGCAGGGATATAATAGCTTAAAATCATTGTCAGAACATTTATGCAGCAGCAGGGTCGGTTAAATGCTCCAGTACCAGCACCGACAGAAGTAAAAACATTCAAGCCTACCTATAAACACACACACACACACACACACTCAAAATGAGTCCTTGGTCGCAACAGTGTTTCAGCTATCAGAGCCTCTTGGCCATGTGTTGAGTGCAATAATGGTAAAGGCAACGACAGGCTCAGCCCATACTCTGAATTAGGCTCCACAAGTGTTAGGTGTGGAAAGGTGTCTGGCAAAGCGCCTGACCACAGCACTCAAAGAGCACTTTGTCTGCACACCTCACACCCACCGTACCTGTTCATGTTGTGGAAACAGCCCAACGTTGTCACACAGTTGATTTAATAAAATTGGATCCCCAAAATGAGACTTCTAGTGTTTCAGGAGCGCAATAGTCGTAATGGAAACATATACTCCACCCCCGCCCCCAATCCACCCCTCCTCCCTCTTTGGCTATACAGGCATCCTTCAAGAGTGAGAATGAGCTGGGGAGACCCGGGGTAAACGGATACTTCCCCACTGTGAGCCCAGTAGTCTGGGTATGGCAAGAGTAACCCTACGTCCATCACAGGCTCATATCTAGCCACAAGCCTGACTGTTGCTATAGCTTATTGACTTGTTAAATGATGATTGCAAAAACAGAAAAACTCGAAAGGGAAAAGGAAGGTAGCGACGGTGGGGTTGAGGTGCCACTGTGGTTTTGTAGGTTGGTTTTGGGATCTGTGGGAAGCCTGTTTTAGTCTCCTGTAGCTCAGGCTAGAGCATGATGTTTCAGGGCACGTGTTTACAGGAGTGCCATTTAATAATCACCTCAGTAACAAACTGGACTTTCTGGACTTAGAAGGATACAAGAGAGCTCAGTTTTTGCATATCGACCAGTGTTGGCCAAAGGCAGGGAATGCAGGAGGATGATCAAATGGCCGAAAAGGGTTGGCAGTGTTACCAATGGAAAAAATCAATGTTAATGAAGTATTCTTAAAGGGACAAAAGCATGAAAGGAAGTTACCTATAGTCTCTGCCACCACAGTGCATCTTCATTCAATGGTTCGCTCTGAATCGCTGCCCATGTCTCTGATCATTTCAGCAATATTTCACAATTCACTCTGATTATCCATTATTACTATCAGTATTAGTGGATAACATGTAGCATGAAACTGTTCTGCACATCTCTGGACACATGACACCATACATGACAGATTTCCTGATGCATGTTCTGATTATATAGCGATATTACGAACAAATGATAATCCATGTAATCCATACTGTGTACTGTCTGTCTTGGAATGATTCCCTCAGTTTTGGAACAATATTTACAGCTTTCATCTGCAACCCAAGACACTTTATGTCTATATGCAGTATATGGCCATTTGCACATGTAATGATGTATTTTGTGCAGTGTGTTTCATATACTGATGTGCTTCTTTAGTTACTCATTAGGTATCTCCTTAATTGTTATATTTAGCATATATTAATGACACTTTCAATGTGGTCCTTATGGTTTTATGGCTTACTAATACTTACATTAATATTAATTTCAGTATAGGAATGAAAAAGCTCTAAGCTGTGAAGCAACACAGTCAGATAGCTCTAATGTGTCGGGGATTGGGTAATAGGCAATGGGTAAACAGGTAAACGCCCTGGTGGCTCATGCATATGCCGCAGTGTTTGTTGAAACACAGATATTGCCAGGGGACTCGCAGGACAGGGTGGGGTGTTACAGGTATGCGTATGCGTTTGTGTGTGGTGGGTGTCCAGACCCCTTAAAGGGCAACCTTTGTGGTTAGAAACTGGGTGTGACACAGGCTCCTTATTAATATAAGAAAATTACCTTTAACTGCTGGCAAGGCCTTTACTGGTAACTAAAGGTGATTTAGGATGGATCACATCACACGTTTCTCATTACGTGCTCATTACAACATAATTTCTAGATCAATTAGATTAAAATTGGTTGTGTTACTGTGTTAATATTCACAGATCCAGGTAGTCAAATTAGGGGCGGATGCAGAGGTGAGTCTGCATCCGCCACACATCTCACATGAATGAGATAAGACAGACCAGCATTGGTCAGGGCGGCCATTTACGCAAACACAATTACAATGTGGTTGCAAGTTTCATGCATGCTTGCTCCATAAATGGTTTTAGCTCCCGGCAAGATTTGCTATCTTTAAAATGTGCTCTTCTTGAACTCAGAGTAGCCAGACGACTGTTTTGGCCTTGCTCTGGGTGTGTGTGTGTGTGTGTGTGTGTGTGTGTGTGTGTGTGGGTATGTGGGTGTATTCCTGTCCATACATCACACATCCATGTCCAGCCTTTTGTTCCAAAATGATTTAGACAGGTTTGTGAGGTTAAATCTCGCGGCCTACGACATTGAGGTTTACTTCCAAAATTACGCTCCGCAGGGTTATTCATGTACTTTATGGGCCTGAACTTGTGACCTTGGATGCATCGTGGAACAATTTATGATTTCTTTTTTCTTCCCTCTTGTACATGATAAACATCTGCGAACCTCCCCGGAGTTGACTACAGTGACAACTTACAGCTAAGGAGTTTTAAAAATAAAAATAAAAATGAAACAGCAGAAAGCTCCCTTTTCCTCTCTACCCCCCTTGCCCCTTCCCTGTCCTCTTATCCTCTTATCCCCCTCTTCTTCTTCACTGTAATGTGTTTCTATAGTCTTTGGAGGTGGAGGAGGAAGGGGGGGGGGGGGGGGGGGGTGCTGCACATCTGAGGTTTATTTGGCCTTCCCCGGGGAGTGCGGTGAAGCTCTGCATCTCAAGGAAATTGCCAGCGCTTTCTGGTCGGCTTGGCACACTCTCACACAAACACACGTACACGCACATGCGCGCGCTTCTCAGCTGGCTTCAGTCCCCCACCTTTTCTCTCTCACAGTGGCAAAGTTTGTCCCCTTTTCTAGCCCTCAGTGTCACAATAATTTTGGTACGTTTCCATCTAGCACACGTTATTTGAATGTATAACCCCTTTGTCTCAACGTCAACAATGTATTTCCACTCTGGAAACCCCTTTTCCTAAGGCATGTGTGAATGATAATTTTGTTACCAAGCAGGCCATAACTTGTTGAGAGAGAAATGCCTTCCAGGAGTCAACACTAAAAATGCTCTGTCAACTTGCTTACAATATGGAGGTCATCTGTAAAGCAAGTACAAGATTGCATGAAATGTTTGAAATCTGAGTAAAAAGAAGAGATGCGTGCAAGCAGTTTTTTTTAAACTTTTTTTTTGCAGAATAACTGATTTGTCTTCATTTAAATGAGCAGCATGATGAGTAAAGATACAATGTTTTCCCTTTTTGTTGGATAGACAAGTTAAATTGTTGTCCTGTCCTTTTACCTCACTCATTTGTCTACTTCAGACTCGGGACTCCCAGCTGGTGAAGGGACGATAATGCCGCCTCACCCCTCAGGCCTGGACTCCCTCCTGCTCCTGCCCCATCCCCCCTCTCTCCCTGCATCCATTCCCCACCTGGCTGTCATTGAGGTTAACATCAGGGAACGCAGACGGAGACAATCAGACAGGTGGCTCTTCCTGCGACCCGGATGTACTTATCCCTTGATCCCTGGCGACCTTGACAGGAAGTGAATCACTGGCCAAGTGACCTCCACTGGTGGCCCTTCCTGTCCCCACGTTGCCTCACAGGAAGGAAGGATGCGGTCTGTTGTCCTCAGGCGCCGCTCACTCACTCTCCCCTCCTCTGCTGACTAGAGAAACCAGATTATTGATTCCAGGCTCATCTCTCCTCATGCTCCCTTTTTAAAATCCTTCTTTTTGTCTCTTCCATTTCCCATCTTCCTCTCTCTTGTCTCAGCACCCACTTTATCCTATTTTGACATAAGTCCTTTCTTCTTTCATCGTTTTTTCTGTGCCCTTGTGAGATGTAAGTAAACACTGCGGACATTGGCAAACCGCAATGTCCCCGATCTCAGTCGATTACACTCCAGGGGCTAACTAGCCCCTTGATTTATAGTCTTCGTTTTATTCATTTCTGACACTGACTTGTTTGTGTAGTTGCTTTTTTATTGGCCATTTGTTTACATTAAATATGGCAACCATTTCATGTGGCAGAGAGATCCCAATGTCAGGCTTCTGGGTTTAGTCTTCTCTCCAATGATGTACATGCGCATTGCGAATTACAGGACACCATTTGGTGGTAGTTAGGAAGAGAAGGGGACTTCCAGGCAGACCGAGAAAGAGAACCTCGCTAGCAACATCAAACGCTGTTTTTGTTGTTCTTCTGGCTGTAGTTCTCAAACCAAAGAGAGGTCAGAAGGTCATGAAGAACCTGTGCTAACTGCTCTGCCATTGGTTGTTAATTGTAGCTATTAACAAAAGAATTGTGCAAGAGGAGAAAAGCTCAACCTCCCATGAGGTTTCAGTACTTATCCATGTTTTCTGTAACATGGTAACATGAGCACACAACATCATGAACATGGTCACACTTTCCATTGGATTTGATGATGGAGGCAGAGCAGGTGGTTTATTGCACTCAGTCAATGCTGCAGCTACATATGATCACATTATTGTCCAGATTTTGGTCTTTTTCTCTGTATATGTAAGAGTCACTCAGCTGCAGGTGCTAGACAGCACTGCCAGTTTACACAATGCAGCTTTAAGCATCCTAACTATAGTTGTAAAATATAAGAATATCAAATCACATAGAATTGTACAACTATTTTTTTATCAGTCAACTTTCAGATTCTTGTTCCTGACATGCTAATGAGTTCATATAAAAGGAAAATACAAATCTGTAAAGTTTATGTGTATGTTAATGTTTTTCATCGAAAGTATGTATCAAGGAATGAAAATGTATAACTAACTAACAGTTGTTACACTAAGCACTGAGCACCATTTTTACATTTTTATATCAGGTTTTCTAATGTGATACTTTGAGCCAACTTGGCCAGTCTTAAAGAGGACTGACATTGGAAGAGAATTCATATTCGCTTAGTTTCAATAAAATACAATCTATATAACAATTAAACATAACCATCAAACTAGCCTCAAATGCAGCAGTTCTGTGAAAGCTAGTTGTCCTGGAAAATCCTCAAATCTAACATCAAATTTGGAAATAATTATAAAGAACTTGTGATCTCTAAAACAGCAGAACACTCATTTTTGCAGTTTCCCTTGTGTCTTTAACAGAGAAATCAAATGTTTCCTGCTGATATGAGTGAATCCTCTTCTTTGTTTTCTAAAAAGCAAAATAACACGTTCTGAAAGACTTGGGACACGTAAGAGGACAGCAGGGAGAGAGCGTGAAGTGAGATGTTGTGATCCCACAGGTGTTTTTCTCCCCTCATGATGTGAGTCTGCAACTGCATTGCCACCTAGTGGGAGAGGAGGTTTACTGTCAGGCTGCTGTGGTTCAAATTAATGTATATTTAGTAAAGAGAGTTTGTTCTATTTCAACTTGGGCAGCATAAGTGGTGATAAATGTATAACTGAGTCCAGAACAACTGTGGGGTCTCTGTCATCATCATCATCATCTCTTTGAATCATTGGCTATTCCAGGTCAGACTGTTGGTCTGCGACTGTAAAGTTTTCCAGCTGAGCTCCTCCAACCAAACATCAAGCCAGTGAGTTCACATCTGGAGTGTATGTGGGAGATAGACATCAATATGTCAGTCCTTCAGGCCATAAGAGAGCAACCCTACAGTTGCAAAGCATCAAGAAAGCTCTTAATAAATAAATCACTTATCAGGAGCTCAGAGGAGGCCAGAGACACTTGAAAATTGTGTCTCAGTCTGCCACAAAGGAAGAAAGAAAGAAAGAAAGAAAGAAAGACTGGACTGCAAGGAGGGAGGGTAAATAGAGAGAACATATTATAAAAGCAAGGGATGGTTCGTTTGGCCACATTTTGCTAATTGGTCTCAGTGGTGCAGCTAATGGTTTTAGATGTATATCCAAGCTCCACTGAAAAATAAGCGGGAACCAATGAAGAGCTAGCTGCAGTGTTTTATACATTTTCATCATTTTGCAAGAGGAGGATAATTTAAAATGCAAAAGAATTCTTTTTAAGACGTTTTATGTATTACGTTTAATACATAAAGAGTATTTTATGTATTAAACAGATGTTAGGTGAATTTGGAACCATTTCATCCATTACAAGCTATTTTCGGGTTTCACACCTTAAATGTCAAGCTCATGTTTAAACATTAGTAAAGCTCGTTCATCCACTTTGATATCTTCCAAGTCTGCCCCTGTCTCTCAGGCCTTTCAGATTATAAGTGGTCCTTCTTCTGGCCCTCACCAGTCCATTTTGTACATCTTTCATCAACTGGAGCTGAGGCATGTGGCAACAAAGCTCTGCTGTGGTCAGGTGGCATCTGTCCCTTCAATAATCCTGGCGTTATCGCTACACATCAAAGCGTTAAAGGCTTGCATAATTGAGTTAACGAGTGTGTTGGTACGTAACCTGATCCTTTATTCCCTGTGACGGCCACGGTCACAGTGTGTGACCACAGACAGAGACGAAGAGCGAGAGAGACAGAGTGTGAAGGCCCTAAAGCCCTGCAACAACTGTGGCTTCACGCTGTGGCCCTGGCAAGCCAGCATAGTGCCCTGGGCCAGTACCAAGCTAATGAAAAAACAACAGTGGGGTAATGGTGTGGAGCTGGGACCGTAGCACCATGCCCACTGCACAACTGCCCCGGTCGGCACTGGCACTGGCCAGAGCGCCAGTTGTCACGGCCTTAATCCTGCCTGCTGAATGACCTCATCATTGCCTGCCGGCCTCCCTGCAGCTGCTGCTATGGCTCGGTACTGCAAAAGCAACGGAGTGACCTCACCTACACAACACACATACATACAATCACATGCAAAGTAAGCAGATAGACTGGTTTGGTGCCCAAAACATGCAAAACCTTAAAGGATAAGTCCACCCAAATTACAATAAGACATTTTTCTCTTGTGGTATCTGGCCACGCAGATAGTTTTACTTTTATCTGCAGAGATCTCTGGCCAATTCAATGGAGGCAATGCATTGAAAATTACTTTTTAACAGCGATGTGTCTTTCCAGAAACAAAGTCCCTGGAAAATTCACAGACCTTGCTTTGGGTAGTTTTGATTGGAGCTATTGTCAACAAAAGAAACTTGTCCCAGTGAGAACTGTTCACAGCGAGGTCTGTGGATTGTCCAGGGTGACCAGCCCAGTGTTTCTGAATTCACATTGCTATTGAATTTTTCAAATGTTATTTGTCAATGCTTTGGTGATGAAATTTTCATTTACCTCCAATGTATTGGCAAGCCAAGGGGTAGTTGCAGAGGTGGAGATCTCAAAACCCCAAAGCCAACTTTCAATGCCAACGCACAAAGGGGGTGTGAAGGTTAAGGTGGTGGATGGGTTTTCCTGGAGACAACCGAAGTTCACATCATGTCACAGATCTGCAATTAATGTTTGTGACTGATCTTTCGCTAACCATAACCAAGTGTTGTTTCTTGTCTAGCCCCCAGCCCTAATTAAATGTATTTTCCATAACCATAATATTTTCCTATAACCTTAACCATACTGTAGCTGTCATGTGCAGATATTATAGAAAGCAAGAGTGTTTAAAATGTTGGTATTGGACCTAATCTGGTGTTTTTGTCCAATATTGACATTCATTCCTGGCAAATGAAACCAAAGCTACAATCCATAGATGGGAACTAACATTAAGTGAGGACATTTGTTTTTATTTCTGATTTGGATGCATTGACACTTTAACTGCATAAACAATAGCAACAACAAAACATGTATGTATCATGTAAACATGAGGCTACTGTACATTCTGTATATGAATGAGGGCTCCATATTGTGCTCATATCAAACAAGATCAGACTGTTCTATACATACAGACTAAATTACCATGAAGATAGATATTAACAGACACAAACACAGATGTACATAGCGTCCACGGACATATAGCCACGCACCGACACACTTGTGTGTGATGAAAATAAAGAGACACTTGCTCTGTTGGCACCTCCTCCAATCACACACACCGCCTCCACTCCTTCATCCCAGCTGTCACAACTGCAAAAACTCTACAAATACACACGCACACTCTCGCATATTCACACTCACCCACACACACACCACTTTACCCGCTCACACCTTTTCCCGCTCACCATGGCTCTCTCCAGTTGGTGCTTGTGTGCCCACTCTCTGCCGCAGCTTGTATGTTGTATGTGTGTGTGTGTGTGTGTGTGTGTGTGTCTATGTGTCTGTCTATGTGTGTGTGTGTATGTATGTATGTGTGTGTATGTGTGTATGTGTGTCTATGTGTGTATGTGTGTATGTGTGTCTATGTGTGTGTGTGTGTGTGTGTGTCTATATGTCTGTCTATGTGTGTGTGTGTCTGTCTATGTGTGTGTGTGTGTCTGTCTATGTGTGTGTCTGTCTCTGTCTATGTGTGTGTCTGTCTGTCTGTCTGTCTGTCTGTCTGTCTGTGTGTGTGTGTGTGTGTGTGTGTGTGTGTGTGTGTGTGTGTGTGTGCGCGCCATCAAGCCTTTTATTGCCATGGTTCCAGCTGAGCTCAGAAATGCAGTGCCCACCTCTGGTCCTGCTTCACTGGAGAAAAAAGTGGACAGTGAGTCATGTTTTATTCTGGCCTCCTCTAAACTGTGAAAAATTATGGCCACCTAAAACCCAATCTGTTCTGCATCTGAGAGCAGAGAGAGGATTGAAATGGCAATGGGAAATTTAGGCACGCCTTGTAGTGAATCTCTGCCTTTTCTCTGCTTTACCCCCCTTTACTCATTGCTCCAACTATCCTAACTGACTTCACGTTAGGCCTTTGAATCTCGAGACCAGCGTGTAAAATCACTCCTGTGCTTACTCTGCATGTTTTGGTGTGTATGAGCGAGCCTGTGGACGTAACGCCAAATGCTTCCTGTTTGACAGCAACACCATATGTGAGGTCATAAATCTGATCACCACACCAACATAATACAGTGACACTGATGTTTGCAGGAAGCACCCGGGATTAGCGAGGATTTATGGTTGGGCTTCGGATAACACACCCATTGCTTGTGAATGCACCCACTACACTCTTTCTTAAGATGACAGACTGGCATCTTTGCAAGTGGAAACAAACGTGTCTTGCACTTTAAATAAATCCATAGAAACATAAAGCAGATTCAAATTAAATTTAACTTAAAGGGCACATATCCAACTAAATAAGGGGACTGAAATAAGGAGCAGATACTGGGGGAAATTGGGCCCCTGGTAGTGATTATTACCCTCATAGAGTTTTTCCATCCCGGTATCCTGGCGCAGACTCTTGTGTCTGGATCTTTTAAAGGGTCCGGGGAGGGTTGGGCATGTATTATTTTCAACACTTCAGATTAAACCCTGCTACAGCTCTCTGAGGCCTTACTAATACAGACCCCCTGCTGGGTTAGAGCAAAATTAAAAATGAACAAAAAATAAAAGCTGTGGCTGTGAAAATAGTGTTAAAACAGAGGTGGAAATTGCAAGCATGACACTGAGATGCTGTGATGACGTCTTTTGGAAAGGTAATAATTAACGGTGTCACCTTTTTTATGAGGTAGAGGAAAGAGAATTAAAAATGTTACATGATGACAGATTTGAAGTCAGGGCTTGGCTTCATTGGTTTAGCACATTAAAATATGGCAAGATTGAGCGAAATGATCATGCCAAGGCAATTTCAAGCCACCAGAACACATTGTTTTTGCAAAGGCTCATTTCTCTCCATTTTCTCTTGTACTTAACTTCAGTATGTGCAGCATACACCGCATAAAATATTTTATTTTTAATAAAACCCTTTGTCTCTGAGAATGACATTCAGAAGCAGAGGAACATTAACAAATCATATCAAATTAAAATTCAAACCTAAGTTTGAGTTGGAACACTTGCAGCAACAGCAATGACTGAAATTAAAGTACTTAATATCAGATATGATAATGATAAAAACAGTATGTTCTCTAATCCATCCTCACAAATTAGTAATATATTTTTAATATATTACAGCAGGGACTTTTACAAGAAGATGATGGGAAGTGTATTGTTCTATATATATTTGTTGACTGGGTAATAATGGAGATTTGATTGCAGCGTGTATGCTGCAGTACTGCTGATTATGTTACGGCCGTATATGCATATGTAAATCCTATATATGTATTTATTTATGTGCATGTATTCTGTGTATGTCCATCCATCCATCCATCGTCAACCGCTTATCCTGCGTACAGGGTCGCGGGGCTGGAGCCAATCCCAGTTTACATCGGGCAAAGGCGGGGTACACCCTGATAGGTCGCCAGTCCATCACAGGGTATTCTGTGTATGTATGAAATATTATCTTCACTTACTTTTGATTTACATAATCACACAAAATTGTTTTATTGCTGCAACAAATACATTTGCAAATAAATATATGACAAGGGGTTTGCATGTAAGTAATTGATTTTATGGCCACTTGGGGCAGTGGAGACAATTTAAGAACACAACACTGACATGTCACCTTTTAAGTTGATTGAATATAGCTAACTCGTTAGCAAACAGGGGAGTAGCAGGTAGTGTTCAGTGGCTTTTGAGAGCTTCTCCACTGAAAACTGCTGCATGCTGTGGCCGAAAAAAAAGCCAATTTGAGAGTAGTAAGAGTGAACCAAAACAGTAATGTTGCACCTCGGACAGCTAAACAATGAGCCAAAACCCACTAAAAAGCTCAGTGAAAATGAGGGGAGCTGCAGATTAGGGTGATAATTCTCTGTAGGTTCATCACTATGGGTGGCCCCTTTCACAAATGTTTTCACTCATTTCATTGTCATTTGATAGAAGAATTTTATTTATAGCTGCTGACTTGATATGCATCATATTTTTCATTAATATGCGATAGCTGTTGTATGACTTTTCATAATCAGGTCAAATTAAGTGATACCTCAAATATAATATATATATATATATATATATATATATATATATAATTGCTTTCCATAAAGATAAACACAATGTAAGTTATATTGTAAAAGGTATACAAGCTAGGATTTTTTATTAACTAAAACATCTCCCATGTAACTTTTTTTTACATAGCACACTATAAACAAGCAGCACTCATGTCACCCACTTTCCTCTCTCTCTCTCTCTCACACACACACACACACACACACACACACACACACACACACACACACACACACACACACACACACACACACACACACACACACACACACACACACACACACACTCTCTCTGTTTTTCTCATTCAAGATGCATCAGGGAGCAAATAAGTGCCAGGCAGTACCAGTACACTGATGGTTCCTCTCTCTAAGGCCTGACAAACAGGGATGCCGGCTGGCAGGATGCCCCCTACCCCTCCTTACAGCACTCAGGCCGCAGGCAGCTGAGAGAAAGAGTGGCCAACAGATCAACAGTTGCTGTCACCGTTGGTTGAGCGACTGGCCTAGGCTGCTGCACGCCACCCAGCCCACGTTCAGGGCACCTGACCCTGGGTAAACTGACAAATGCCTGACATTTGGGTGGCTTGCAGAGTGATGTGACCTTGAGGGTGTTATGACCTTACTGCGCTGGACACACACACGCACTTACAGCCACTCTCTGTCTGCCTTGTGTTCCCATTCCCAATGTTTTTCAAGCACCTGACCAAGTACATTATCCACACCTTTCAGACTCACAGTCACAGAAACGGCACAGCTCTAAGAATGCTTGCACTCAGGAAAGAGTGCTGATTTGTTCCTTATTAACATGTTGAAATGATAAGATTTGACACATTCTTGACATCTGAATCACACAGTTGCTTTAAAATGCATGACACTGGGGGGGGGAGCTTTAATTTGATTACTGTCTTGTTAGTTTTAGCAAGGAAAAAGTAAATTTGCCTGATTAGATTTGCCTCCACAGTTTGTATTCATAGACCTTTTTATGAGCCTGTGGTGCCATATATGTAGGTAAGAACGGACACACAAGCATATGATTAACAAGTACACATTATAGCCTAATAATGTACAGTACTCTCGCTGGACATGTTTTACTCATCTTGACAAGGCTGTTAATTTCTCTGAAACCAAGGGACGGATTCCAATGACCCTCTCTATCCACATTGCCTATTCCCTCCAAAATGCTCAGCTGTTGCCACAGTAGACAGCTGCTTTAGGGGTAGAACGAATCTCAGCTGTCGAGGGGAGTTGTGCAAGGGGGTTGGTGGATTTGAGGGTTTGTTTTCCCTCAAACCAATGACACTCCACTCCCCACTCCGCACTGAGTTGGGTGGAGTGTGGAAAAATGCTGACAGACTGCAGATTTAGGGACAGAAACCAGAGGCTACAGCTGTCTGAGTGTTTACAACCAAACGGCTCAGTAACCTCTGAACTGCGGCGTTCTGGGGTCAAAAAACTGACGGCCCCCAAAAAGTCTACGTACAATTATTTCATTCTGCTTGATGTGCAAGCTACAATGTTTGGCAGTTAGAAAATGAAAGAGGAATGCCATATGTTTGGTACTTTTATGTTAGATCAAGCAAAAATCTTATTTTTACATCAAAAACTCGCCACAATGAATATTTACCACATAAGGATCAGTTAAAAAAATTTGACTGTGCTCTTGCCAAATCCAGTAAGAGGTGAACATACTGTCAAATGTCATCCACTGCAGAGAAGCTCCCTTAAACATGACTCACAATCTGTTTATTGCCCTGTTGTTTCTTTCTTGGCTGGTTTTCAACCTGTTTAGCTTGTATATATTAAAAGGGGCTGCCAATTTGAGAGTTTAGCCTGGTATTATCCATGCTGCACACTGTAAAGGTCAGAAGTAACACAAGCTCACTTCAGTCTCCTGTTGTGGGGAGCAAACAAGGTCTCTGGCCTATGATCTTGGAGCATATTCTAATGAGCCTGGACAGCTTGGCACTTGATCAGAAAGGCAATTGTATCATACACAAATTTCATATTGCATAACAAACTAGATTACTGAGGTTACAAAACAACAGCCTCTCATTACTGGCCACAGAGGATCAGGGTCTAACCAGAATATGCTGCTGTTCTTTATTGCAAATGTAGACAATGTGTGGACCCTGCCACAGATTGACATGTTCCATGTTATGGAGAGACGTTTGAATTATTTTACTTATAACGGGTGTGGGTAAAAGTCATGGAGAGGCCAATGACCATCTTTTTGACTGGTCTGCTCTGATCACAAACAGCTTGTTGGTGGAGTTTGGAGGAAGCTGAAAAACAAACTGTAGCGTGTACAGAGATCTGTCATTAGTAATAAACATCCATTGTATATGATTATCAAATAATTAAAACTGTCTGGTATGCATCTCATTTAACTCGGTGTACGTGACATCTTTTGTTGTTGTTGCACTTTCCCTTGCAAACTTTCCTCTGCACCCTGGTTTATCTGTGACTTTCTATCTTACATTCTGATATCGCCCTCTTGTGGTACGTTGTTGAAATCACATCTCCAGCACTTTCCACAGGTGGCCGGTTGTTCTGCATTTCCGCTATTTTCCTCCACATTTCATAAATAATGGTCATGTTAATAGAAACAGAATGCTTTTGATCGCTTGCATTAACCCATCTCATCTATTTGCCAATTTCTTGGCTAATCGTTCAAAGTTAATGGACGGCACATCGTATTATATTCAAAGTTGACTTCCTTCTAAGTGCCTAAGTGGTATACTGGCCTCCAGCTACGCCTCAGACGTGCACAAAATAAGATATGAAAGCGATGAATGAATTAGATAAAATAACTAGTGGTGCGATTGTATGGCATCGTCATAATCACTACATTAACACATTCACATGATAAAGAGGTCGCTCTGTATGGACCATCATTGTTGCTCTGCAGCGTGCACCTTATTCTGAAGGTTTAGAGCACACTGACTTTATTCCATAAACAAGAAAACCAGGTTAGTGCCAGAAAATATCCATGGAGAAAAATATCCTTAGGGGGAGGGGTCATTAAAACCCAAAATTATTTTTTAGAAGGAATGAATTAGCCAGATTCAGTATTTGCACAGATGCAGCTGTTTTTCAGCACCACGGACAGCGTCCTGTGCCCTTTTTCGCCCTAATCATCAGTGATATCCATATTGTGCACAGGTCATACAGTTACCTTCAGATAACGTTAAGTCACGTGTACTTGTGAACCATATGCTTGTGTGTCCGTGCTTACGTACATATATGGCACCACAGGCTCATAAAAAGGTTTATGAATACAAACTGTGGAGGCAAATCTAATCAGGCAAATTTACTTTTTCCTTGCTAAAACTAACAAGACAGTAATCAAATTAAAGCTTTTTTCCCCCAGTGTCATGCATTTTTAAGCAACATTTCAACATGTTAATAAGACACATGTTTCTAAAGGTTACTACAGTCTCCACAATAGATCCACATTGTTACTCTTAACTTATATATATATATAATAACTTACTCTACAGTAAGTTTGTGACGTGAAGATACAGGGCTTAGGCTTTTATTAAAAGTGCAGCGCCCCTGTGTCCTGATGGTTTTGCGCTCAAGGTGGAGTTTTGCGGCACATCACATGTAATTGCTGCCGCTGTATGCGAACAGTGCTGAGGCTGTTGTCCTGAAAAGAGCAAGCTGTCAGAAGCTCCAAGAGGTTGAACCACAACGGAAGCGAGAGCGCTTTGCCTTTTCCGTACAATATCACCCCTACTTTCAGAGGAGAGGAGCATGCGTTCAACGCGCAGGTGAAAAATCTTCTAATTTAAGTTCTACGCTGCTGCAACTTTTTAGGTCTATACCTATATTGGGTCTATATTAGGGCAATATTTTTTTGTTGTAGTTGTTTGCTTTAGCTATAGGGTTCATAAAGATAAGTTTTGAAATCTTGAGAAATGTCTCGCAAGAAGGCTGTCAAAAGCAAAGCCGCAACCAGCAGCCCGTCTGCGGGCAGCCCCGCCAGGAAAGGGACCGGGAAAGCCGCGAGGAGCAGCCCGTGCATTGTCCAGATGAACGGTGTAGTCCATCCCAGCAGACCCTCCATCAGCAGCAGCAGCGAGTTTTATGACATCGCTTTCAAGGTAAGATGCCTGCTGCTGTTGTTGCTCGGTAAATGCATGAAAACAAACAGCAACTCACATAAAAGTAGGCTTTGTTTGATCATTTTGCACCAAAATATATCTGAGAATTAATCAAGGCGATGTACCAAATTCCTATAACAATGTCATAGAGATCGCTATAAACTAAACACACGGTCATATGAACACTTTTCGTCTTTTGTTTGCCTTTAGGACAGAGCTATAGGCCTACTACACAAGAAAACATAGCCTACACAGTAAACCTGTTTGTGGTCCACTTCATTCTATGCTACTGTTGTTTTCCTGTTTAGATTTCATTGTCTTTCGCTTTACAACCACCTCTATTCAATAAACGGCAGCTAGCGAGCTCCTGACACCAGCTGTGTCAATAGACGATCGATAACCTGGAAAGGCGCACAGCGCCCTGCAAACAGCCAACAGACAAATTATTTGCTCGTGCCGCGCCACTGGTTTGAACGCCTGTTTGTCTCGTTTACAGTGAGCAATTGGCGTGCTTTACCCAACCACAATTCGAGCACTTGTGCGAGTAGAGAACTGTCACTTCACCACAACACAAACGCAGATTCACGCCCACAGGTTTCTCAGAGTGTACTCCCAACATGGCTTCAAGGGAGTCGTGCCACCCACAGTACTCCATGTTTTGATGTGAGTGCACGATGGCTTTGTGGTGCTCTTTTTGCAGAACAATTGCATGGCTCCATCCAAGCTGTCTCCCTCTGTAAACCATAGATATTCTAATTTAGTATTTGGTGGACTACAATTTCTACAGTACACAAATCCCTGCAGCCAGCAAATTAACAATTGCAGAAAAAGCCACATTCTCCAGTTTCAACCTGAGCTGAAGCAAGATATTGTGCCATGTAACTGTAATTTCATGGATATGATCTGACATGATCTTTCTAGATCTAGCTGTAATGTTTAGTTTGATGTTGCAAGACTGGATTTAAGAAGTCCCACCTGTACATTTACTTTTCCCTCTGGTCATTACTCTGCATTGAGTCAGTAAGGACACTGATTGCATTTTATTTATAAAAGCCCAAGGGCAGGGAGAGACCAGGTGCCTCCTCCTGCACACTCCTGCAAACATTTAGCTCCCGTAGAGCTGTTTAAGGGAGAAATGGGGAGCATAGGGAAACAGTGGGCGAGAACTTCAGACAAGTTACCCTTTACCACATTTTGTATCTTTTCAGTGACCATGTTACACCCTTTCATACTTCTCCCTCTGTCTTTCTCTGTGCACCCAAGAGGCACTTTTGATTTCCATGGTCTAGGGGCCAACAGTCCCTCAGCTAACATGATAACAGTAATCACATCAAACCTTTAACTTCATCACAGCAGGGAAGAAGAAGAAAAACGCATGACTGTTTGTTCAGCAGCAATGATGCCGAAGTGTGTCTGTTTTTGTATGTGGGCACACACATACATGGATGCGCTATAAGATGATTGCAGACATTCACACACTTACAGAAAGGATCTAAGGACATCTACTGGTGGCCATGATGAGCAGTCACACACTCATTCACACACACTATCTTCACTGGCCAAGAACCAAAATACCAGGACTAATTTAGCTGAATGATTCAAATGTTCTGTTTTTGCCTGAGGACAATCAGATGCTGATATAAAATTATGAGAAACAGCTCTGTCTTGTTCATTGCTCCTACGTGTTTTCTTTTTATGATGCTAGTTATTTTAGTTCTGTCTGACATCTAACCTTTTTATTGATCACTCAGAGAGTGTGAAGTTATATCCGTCACACCTCTGGTTATACATTTTTGTGCTTCTTAGTTAAGGCTTCCAGTCATTCCCGGATAAGTTCTTCCCTCTTGGTTTCGTGCAGGTGATGCTGGTTGGAGACTCCGGTGTGGGGAAAACATGTCTACTGGTTCGTTTTAAAGATGGAGCTTTCCTGGCTGGCAGCTTCATCTCCACTGTGGGCATCGACTTCAGGGTGAGTTTAAATCAATGAAACCAAAAACATGCAAGCATAAAACCGACAAATCCCTCACATACATGCATATGCAAACACACTTCCAGGTTTAGTACCTTTTTGTAAAATGGGGCCATTTGTAGCCTACTAATGGTATTTTTCCAAAGTTATTTAGTGCCTTTTTATGCCCCAGAGCTATGGGTATTTCCTGTTAGGATATTGATTTCTTAAATTAGTTTGACATGCTTTCATTTTTTAATCTCTCTGGGTAATAATCATATCTCTGATGTGCCAGTTTTGTGGTCCCAGATGGGCAGCCAGGAAAGAACTTATCCATCTGTTCTAATGATCACCCTCAGGTATGTCTGTCTGTCCAACAGACTGAGACAGGCTACCACTTAGAGCAGCACTTAGACCCAGGGCAGCAAAAGAGACAGTTACATCCCTCCGGCTCTACATGGACCTCATGCACAGGGTCACGTCAGCTACAATAACAGCCCTGGGTGCTCACTGAACTGAATTGAACTACTACTTTCAATCACTAGGCTTTTTCTGGGCAATTATCTATCTATCAAGCAATCAAGCAATTTAGCAATCTTTTTGTGAAATTCTTAACTCTCACTTAGGTTAAATTAAGTAAAATGTTACACTGACTGGCACATGTACATTGTAGTTAATGTAGGCTTTTTATTGTCTGTCTTATAAAATATATGGTACAATATAGTATGGTCTAGTACAAGAACCCTGCAGGAAAAAAAAAACTTTTATAGAGGTTATTACATTCAGTTTTCAGCATTGCACTCCTGTAACCTTGTTGCTCTCACAATGGAAAGTTTAAAGCAATGTTATGTGAGATTTGGTGTAATTTGACGCCCCTACCATTTCAGAGTGTAATTCACCACTGTCATAAAAAGGACAGCTGTGCATTTGTTATGATTACATTAACAACAACGAGCAAGTTGACAATTTTGCTAACACAGCCAAACATCAAGTAAGTGTAACTGTGCATTCAGACCAAACGCGAATTTAATCCACGCAACGCTTTCCTCGCGGGGGTTTTATCGCTGGACATCCCTGGAGTGTTCACACACAACGCGATAGCGCGGATAAATACAACTCGCCATTACTACAGCTGTATGAACCCCAAAGTAAACATTTTGCTGTGATTAAATAGCAATAAACGGATCAAACTGATGCCGAAATAACTACAAGATTATGCAGATTTGTTAAACATATGAATTCATGCTTTGTCAGGTCTGTCAGCAAGACAGCAGGACAACAACTTCTAAAATGTTTGTTTTCTGAATGGAGTTCGGATCGATCAGGGCTATACTATGTATGTATAACGATAGCTGGAATAAAGTTACATACACATTTTTTCTGAACTCACCAGGTAGTTCAACCTCCTCGCTTTCTTTTCTCCCGGCAATGTCCACTTTGTCCGGTTTTTATATAAATATGAAGTGGTGCCAAACGACAGTAACAACACTGGAACCGGATGTGCACGGAAACTAGCTGCTGAGAAGCTCGAGTGAAGATAAATCAACATTGTAATCCCAAAAACTTAAGTAAAAAGCTAATTTAATAAAAGCAGTTTACTCCGAAATTAACTTGAGATTCATAGATGGTGGCTGAACCTCCGTCTGTGAAACTTCCGATTGTGCTTGAGCTGACTTTGCTAACACAGGCAAACATCAAGCAAGCACAAGAACACAGGACATAGCAAGCAGGCTAATAAGTTTTAACTTATTAGTCCAACAGCAAGAAGGCTAGCTCTGCATCTGTCTTGCATCCTTTAAGCTCTTTTAACTTACGCCAATGAGTATAAGCAGGGCCAATATTTACTCTTGTCCAGTCTCTTGTTCAATCTCTTCCTCCGACGTCTTGTTTGGTCTCTTCGCAGCCTCTGCCATGACACTGAGAACACTGAGCTAGATTCTTCCAAAGAATTAACATTGCACATTATATACTTTTTGCTTCCTCTAGTCTTATAGCTTGCTGAAGAGCCGTGTTGGTGCCATTAGGCATTACGCCGTTGTTGTGATAAATGTCCTGCCTAGGATTTCAATGTTACAGCACAGCAGCTGGCGTAGGAAGCCCGGAGTGGTAATGACAGAGATGTCATTCACCCTGTTACAAGTCCTTGTTCTTTCAAACTCCACATCCCCACATTTATTTCATTTTCAAACTTGTAGTCTTTAGTCTCAACAGACAGTCAGACTTTGTATAGCTCCTTGGAGTCACAAATGCCTTTTAAAACTTTATTCATACCGGCTATGCAGTTGTACTCCCTGTAAACAGACAGCGAATAAACAATTGAAGTTTCCCTTTAACTTACCTCTGTGGTAATTTTTGAGTGCCATAGTTTGTGGTTTTGTTGTAATCCAAGACTCCAAGAAATTACAGAGAGATTTGTTGCTGTTAATGGGAGTAATCAATATAAACATATTTACAGTGTAAAGGTGCCTAGAATGGAAAAATGTGTTTACCTTGGCAAAATATTTCAGTACATGTAACTGACATACCGCAAGCCTCAATCTTTGTTGTTTCCTCTGGAAAAATGGGTGAATATCAACAAGCGCTAGATGTTAACGCCCCAAAAGTTACATAGACTAATCCACGTTCCAGAGTTAGTGGTCATACAAGCTCATAGAGCCACAGCTGGAGGTTGTGCAGTGTAGTATGCCGTGCATTTGTACAGCAGTCAGTGAAGTGTAGTCTAGCATAACAGGCCTTGATTCAGTGCCCCTCTTCTGTACTTGGAAGCAAGTGGGCTTTCAGGGAGGGGGGCCTTAAAGAGACAGTAGCTAAAGCTGAGTGTTCAGAAAGAGGGTAAAAAGAGATAAAAAAAATAAAGGGTTTTTTGAACGTTACAGCATGTAAAAATTTTCTCGTAGAAACCCGAAATACAAGTATGAACCTAAGAATGAGCATTCTACGGCACCTTTAATAGTGATTTAAACTCATTAAAATGATGCATTTTACTGCTTACCCTCCTTCATTACTTTATTTGTCTGTCAGGTGCTAACTTGTTCCTCCACCTATCTTTTTCCTCCACCCATCTTCCTCACTGTTTATGGTAAATTAACTTATTTGAAAATGCTGTTAACACCATTACATAAAGTGTAAGTGCAACAGTAGATCCTTTATACTCTTGAGAGGCATACTGGTATCGGGTGTGTGTGTGTGTGTGTGTGTGTGTGTGTGTGTGTGTGTGTGTGTGTGTGTGTGTGTGTGTGTGTGTGTGTGTGTGTGTGTGTGTGTGTGTGTGTTAAACTAAAGTATCTAACCATTTTATAGCCCTATGTGTTTGGTTGGGATGAGTTTGTCAGTGGATGAGCAGTTGATTTATTTACTTATGTAAAGTTATAACACTATGTCTGCCGTCCTGATGTACATTTTGGCCTATCTAAGCAAAGCAGAAGCTTTATCAGCTATCTTTGACTGCTGCATTTACTACTAATAGAAGAAAAAGTCCAAAACTCATAAAGTTTAGTGCTTAGTCTGCTCTTTTGTCATATTGACTTATTATTTAATTGCAGTGTTGCACGGACCTGTGTGACATGAATAATTTCATTATTTTCCTCAATGCTCCCGTTCTCTCTTGCAGGGTTTAGGTAAATGATTCAGTTTTCCAGTACAAGCGAAATAGACCTCAACTCACGAGGATCCATCCTGAGTGGAACTGTGAGTCAGTATTGACGTGGTGTGTTTTTTTAGGTATGCTAATTACAATGCAGAGTTAATTGCATATTTTTCTTTTTTAGTGTTACATTTTGTGTGTAAATCCATATACATTTCTATATACAGTTCAACTATTTTAATGCAATAACATCCGCTATACAATATAACAAACTTCACTGAATGTAATTTAAAATTGATGTACAATGCAAACCTAAATCGACAGCATATTAACTATTGTTCTTGTTAATTTATGAGGTCAGTGAATTAAATTAAACTGTGTTGAGAAGTTGAGAGACCAGAACTTTGTTGAGTAGGAAAATATGAACATCCTTGTGTTTGTCTTCCCATGGAGGATACACAGAGAGACAGGGAGACAGGGAGTGATCGTTATTTTTAGAAAAAGACAGTTTTGATCCTTTTTAGTTGGTGGGAAAGAAAGGCAATTTGCTTCTTATGGGGATTTGATCCGGTTCCCACTTCAAAGCTGCAGTGAGATGCTGTGTTTTCTTCCCCTCTTGTTTATTGTACTCTCATCTCATCTCTCATTTAAGCCTCAGCATGTTCTCAGGATTACAGAGCTGCACTGGTGCCTTGTTAGGCTTAAAATACAGGGAGTCAGAATAACAAACATAATGCCACGCAAATTGCATTTGATTATGAAATCTCCCTATAAAGGGATTATAAGAGGGATACATTTATAGACAAAGAGTGAAAACCAAGCATGTACCTAATCACATTAATACCATGTAGATCTACCGTTTCTCAATCTCATTTTGACAAATAATTACTGCCAAACATTAATAGAAAACCAAAATGATTCTATATGACCACGTGGCATACATGGCCATTTATGACATAGAGACCAAATCAGGTTAATTGGATGTGATTTCACCTCTATTCATAGTTTTCAGTCACGTGACATGCGCTGTGACTTGGAGGGCAAAACAACAGACCAACATAGCGGCTCACACCGTGACTCTCCCCTAGAGACGCCGCAAAAGCAGTCAAATTTTATTTGGATCACCTTTCAACTTAAGAAAAAGAAAGATATGAACACAAACTGCTAGTGTTTCACATATCCGATCGATATAACGTTACAGCATCCGCTGTCGCATTTCTACCGTTGAAAACCACCAGGTCCCTGCCGCCGCTCGACTGTGGAAATGTTTACTTTTACCTTCTGGGGAATCCCTCACCTAGCACTTGTCACCTCGATTAGTAAATCCGAAAGCACAAAAACCATTCAGCATTTTGGCAACGCAAAAAGTAACAAACCCAAAGTAACAGTGTATCACTTGCATATTGGTTGGCAGGCAATGGAAATTAACGTATGACGT